TATATATATAAAACAAATATAAGTATTATTTAATATTTTAGCGGAGAAAATTGAACTATTGGTTTAAACATTTTACTTGCATATTTTATATTATTAATAACATCGAATTTTTCTTTTCGATTTGTAACAAATTAATCGAAGAAATTCTTCTCCTAAATGGATTTTCTGTGTTTCGCGGCAGTTGATGAAAAATTATTCAATAAAATAAAAATGGATTTTGCCCAATGTTATCAAAAATTCAATCTAATCACGACAGCTCCAAATATTTAATAATGGCCAATGACTGATGTTTTCCATATGACCAGTTTTATTATAATATCAAGCGCTCTGACCACTGAAAATTTATTGCAATTATCATGAGACCGAGTATTTCCGAATGAGCCCGAATATCTATATGATTAAAATATGATCTATCAAAGTATGGAGACTATTTTTGTGAGCGATTGAACGCACTGTTCTAGTAATCACGCTGAGCTGTCGACGAAGGAAGGAACGAATTGTGATCTGTGCAGATTTATGATTTTTGTGACACGAGGAATATCGCGATATGGGTCTTTCTAAAAGAGAAAAGATTAAATCGTAAACGTAAGATGACCAGCTTCGCGAACGGACTTGTCTTGGGTTAGCGCTGTGCGCTGATAAAAAATCGAGGTGGCTACTTCATAAAAGTATGCATATATTAATATGATCACCGAGTGTCCGCGTCGGACGATTTGATCGGCTCCATGTATTCGCGCGCGTGTTATAATTTATTTCTTCCGGATGAGAAGCTCCATCTCTTTCGTCGTATTGAGCGGTGCGATTTGCATTCGCTGTTAAAATGCAGTCGTTAAATTCTGCTCGTTTCGCCCTCGTTAGAGGCATTTCGAGTGTCTGCGCTTATGTCTGCTAAAGAAACGTCGATGAGATTAAGGCCTCGCTAATTGTAAATTATTTAACCACATTTCGAAGAATGACTGTGTGACAAACTGATTAGGGCGCGGATTTTCGCCACGCGATTCTTATTTACACTCGTTTCTTCTTTCTCGCGAGCACTACTCGCTCGACGGTTAAACGCGGCGAAAAATGCATATTGCATTTACAAGTCATGGAGATCAAAGCGGAAGGCGTGGCGAGGTGCAATGAGATGTATACGACAAGTTATCCTAGTATTACATATACACGGCATTGTAAATATAGTAAAAATATTGACGTGATAGAGGATATATTATTATTATTACCATTATTCAAATCGCGACGGAACTATTGGCTGCTCTTGTTCACAGGTTGTTTGCAATGCAACGCAATATCGAGACTGTATGTGTGGATGTGCATATGTAGTTTTGTCTCCAGAATAATATTCTTTTGTAAAATTTCGGCATTTATTAATTAATAAATTAAATAGTACAGGCTTTTTAAAATTAAATATCTCTTATTTGCCAATTTAATTGTATTTTTGTATATTTAATTTCGGCATTTATATTGTTATATTTTTGAAAAAGCCTTAAGTTTGCGCAAAAACCCAGTTTCCAAAAACTCTTATTTGTTGCGTCACAATTCTTGTATCACGCCTATTTGTCTATACTAAAAAAAAAACGAGAAAAAAGTTTTATCTTTTTAAAAGAACAACTTTTTATCTCATATATGACAAGAAATGAGAAGTGTTTTTTATATGAGTATAAATATGAATCTTTTTCACAATATACATCGTTAGTTCTAATTAAAAGCTTGTAAAAAATTAACTTGTTTAAAAATTGTCTAAAAATTAATTGATTCTTTTAGTATTAAGACGATAGGAAAAAGCTACTCAATGATTTTGTTGCCGAACAAGGAATCGTATATTAATGCGCAACGAAAAGCTAGTCTTTCTTGGCACGACTTTGTATTTTAAATGGAGATCGCACCGGATTTTATGTGCAGAGACAGACACGTATATATAACTTATCCTATAATTTCTTTTAAAGGAGCACATTGAAAAGAGGAAGAGATATGCTTCTTTTAAAAAGTCCGAAATAAAGTAAGACGTATCGCGTTTCGACATGCATTCCCTGGGAGATAAATGTTTCGATGATGAATACGAGTTAGCGTACAATTCATGTGTATTTATATTCCTGAAGAATTTTATGGCACGCTATAAGTATACATTGTTCCGTTGTTGTCATCGAGAAACATAAGTTTTGTAAATAAAGTATACGTCTAATAACGATAATAACAATAATAATAATAACAACAATAATTATAATAATAATTATACAACGATAACAATAATATTAATATTAATAATAATAATAACAATAATAATGTAATAAGAGTACGACGGCATCAACATTATGATTGAACGCGAGTATACATGGACATTGTGATATATTTCGGGCTGGCCGTTCATTTTTCTGACGGCGATATCGGCCCGCACAAGATATTCCAAGCGGTATCAGTGGTAGATATTGCGAGCGACTGCGAAAAGTCGATTATTCTAGTTACGAATTTACGGTAGACCTAGGTAAACCTAACGATAAATATGGAATAACAGATAGACAATTGTCAGTGTATCACTACGAACGTATACGATTTTTAATGTACAAAAAAAAAAAAAAAAAAAAAAAATGTTAGATAAAAAAAAAAAAAAATAACGAGCGCGGTGCGCGGAGACGTCCTTTCTCGATTTCGTCCCGGGACGGAAGCAGGACCTTACAATGTTCACCGGAGTGTTTGTGATTCTTTATTTTCGAATGTTTCGTGCAATACTTCGTCGTTGAGCATGTATTCCTTTTGCGCATAAAGAGAGGACTATTCTATTTGGTGAGCTTCATTTTGTGTTGTATAATTAAATTGAAAATACCGTCAATAATTACGAAGGATACCATAGGAACATCGACTAGTTGAAAACTAATTTTATAGAAAATTCTGATGTTTAACTATTTGATTATCCTCGCATAAATGTAATCAATGAATCGGAAAAAAAATGCGATAGAAATATTAAATATTATGGTGCCCCGTCTTGACTTCCCTTAAAAAGAAAAACAAAAAAAAAACAAAAGTTTGAAGTATGTATGTTAGTTAATGTAATTTCTTTGGTGCGCTTATATAATTAAAATACGCATAAAATTCAAAATCAATTTTAAATAATAGGCATAATTTAGGGAATCAAGCATTTTTAATTTCATAAGCCGAAAGCTGAATATTTCATATCTGTCTCTTCTTTGTTAGTAATGCGGTAATTTATGTCAATGCAACATCAACTGGATTCGTTCCTTCCTCTTTCTAGTTTGGATTCGGATAGTATGAGAGCTCCTATTGGTGTTCTTAATGATCGTAATACCTCTCCTTAAACGAAAAAAAAGAGAATACAATTTCTGTATTTATTTAATTTATCATGCGTGTGTGTATATATATATAGATTTCAGAGCGAGTAAAGGTTGGCGCCCTTTGATTTGCGGCAAGTGCGGGCGTCACTTTTTACAAGTGATTTGTAACATACGGGCTCTGCTGATCGTACATTTAAGTGTTTCGTGCAGAAGTCAACTCGAATCGTACAGTCCGCAGATGTCACCCGATTCTTCCAGATTCAACTGTGAATCGGAAGTTTATCGCATCTCTATCACAAATCATTATCGTCGATGACTTTAATTAGCGGTAAATAGACAGAATTTTAATTTTCATCGTTGTATAGTTGTGTATAGAGGTCAACTAAGTGTGTATAAAATAAATCATTATCAAAATATCGAACCGTTTTTTGGTCTCGCTCCTATCTATCTTGACATTTCAATATTTTGAAATAAATATAATATTATTAATATTTGTTACAATTATATTTGAGATTAATATTAATAAATTATAATATTAATATTAATAATTTAATAAATAATTATTTATGTCTCCAATATATGTCACCATGTACAATAGGACGATACAAACACACACACACACAATTTTATTTGAAAATATACATTTTTATATTTATGTAGAGATACATGGATTACATACGCTTTTACATTGTATAAGGAATATATTGTTGCATTGTTTATAATGGAAATTTATTAATAATTAAAGTGATACTGTGCAAATACTGATCTAAATTAGCACTTGTTACAAAGCGGAAATAAAATCGTGTATATATTTTATTTATTGGCTTATAAATAATACTACGGCGGATACACAATGAATAAATTAATGACTGCTATCGAGAAATGAACGAGTTTGATGTAAAGCAAAAATATCCAAATAGTGTACTGTCTTTCATTAATTAATTCGATAACTTAAATATTAACAATATACTGCATAGCGATAGATCATAGATAGATTTAAGTAAAAAAAAATTTTTCTGCAATTGTGTACTAATATTAATGTCTATTCCACAGTGATATGTTGATAAGACATATAGTACATATAATTAGGATTTATGTAATACGAGTTAGTGAATAACTTGGTCGTGTTGTTGCGCATACATGTGCGTTTTATTTACTATTGTCTGCAAGGTTTTTAACATCAGATAAAATCAGATAACTGCATATTAAACATATCCATACATTAACCTATATAATAATTTTATAAATTTAAACCGAGTTAATGTAGAAATTGATTTTTTTGTTCAATGAAAAATTTCACATTGACTTGAAACTTATTTTGTAAAATTAAAATTTATATCTAATTTCAATTATTTTAATTATTTTGAGTTTAAATTATTTAGTTTAAATTCAATATTGTTTTTATCATTATTTTATAATCATAAATTTGAGACAAATATTTTTATGAATATTTTAACACGAATGTTTGAAATATATAGAGAAAGAAGCTACAAGTCTTCTAAAATATTTTATAATTAGCTAATTTAATGTTACCATTAAAGTTGTTTATGATTTAAATTAGAAGAGAGAGTTGATCGTGATAATAAATTTTTTAATAATAAAATTACTTCTAAATGTACGAGAATAATCTTTAAGAACATAACTTAAATTCACTAATAAATGTCTTCAAAATGCTTGTATAACTTACAATTTTTAATCTAAATTACAAATAATTATACATATATCATTTCTCACATATTTCTGTTTCTATTTTTATTCGACTTATATTATTTTGCCGTAAAATCAATAATAAACTTCTAATTAATATAATGTTATATATATATATGTATGCGTATATGTGTGTGTATATGTATTCATATCTCAAAGTTAATTGTTAATTTAAAAGAAGGTTTCAAAATATAGGCTCGCTATATTTGTAATATATTGCAATTAATAAAATCTTAACATTTCTATACAATTGTTCAAAAATTTATTTTTGCTAATTGTAGAATTATGAAATTACTAATTAATTATTAATTTGAAAAGTTATTCTGTTACTCTTTTTTCGGTATCTTCATAGTTTACAAATCTACGTATTATATAGCTGCAATATATAAGTATTTATTTTCTGGCTTTTTGTAAAATTTTGCAAATGTTAAAATGTTCACTCTTTGGTCTCACATATCCACGTATCTTGTTCATGTCTTCTGTATATGAATGTGGATTATACGCAAGAAAACGATACAAAAAATTAAAACTCATTATTTCTTAATTCTTAATTGTTATGTTATATGATATAAAAGTTTAAATAGACATAAATGAAATTTACAATAGTATTATTAAAATTAATATTATTATATAGTAATTAATATATGATGACTGTATTAAAAAATAAATTATTTTATATAAATTATTTTCTCAAAAAAATAATTATTCTTTTTCTGTATTGTTTCCTTATGTACAAATAATATATATATAAATATACATATACAAAAATGATATATAAGTATTATGGCGTGATCTTATAAGATCAATAAATTATTTAAAATGTTAGTACCTTTTTAAAATGATTGTTTAAGAATTTAGCTAACATGTTTTAATAAAAAGATGCAAGAATGGTTACAGTGAATAATTTTAACGTAAAATAAATCATTCTCCGTTATTTCATTGCTTGTCGCATTTGTATTGGGAGCAAAAATAAATGTATTTAAATTTAATTGCTGGAAAAAAAGCATCAATTACATATCAATAAATTAAACATCGATTATTTTTCCCCTTCAAAAAAGAATTTTTCTTTAGATTTTATGTTGGATAACCTTATTCGAAAAAATATATATAAAAATTGTATCGTGGATATAAAATTGTTTGATATGTATGTGTGTAAACCTGGTGCGCAGAAAAAATAGTCATAATAGTTTTTAATACAAGAAATTAAATATTTGTGCATCTAACATTGTAAAATATATTACACAATTTAAAAAATTTAATGCAGAAAATTGATAATGAGAGAGAGAACAGAAATATATTTGGATTTTTTTCGTTCTAGTTGGATCGAAAGCAATTGTACACTGTTATAACGAGATAACGATTAGCTTTTCATTAAATAAAAACAATACTGAAAGATGCAAGAGCTGTCTTATCTCAGCAAAACTATATGTACATATTACAAAATACACGATTCAAGCCATTAAATTACTATTTTAAATATGACTATGTTAAATAATTATTTGTTAAACAAAATTTTGTTTTATAATTACTTGTTATTTAAAAAATATATTTTTTAAATAACTTTAAAATTCTTCTGTTTCTTAATTTTTTGTATTATTTGTGTGATTATATCATATAGTCTATTATATATATATATATAATTATAAATTATTAAATAAGACTTTCAAATCAATGTTATACACTCGATTGAACTCAATAATTTCTCTCTTTCTCTCATACTTTAAATAAATAAATAAATAATATATCATCAGGTACAATATATTGAGAGACTTAGTAAAAATATAGTAATCTGAAGAAGCGATTTTATTGTAGCTTGATTTACATATTTAATTTCCGTTCATGAAACTTAGTCTGCTCTTATAGCAACTTCTTTTTTTTATCTTTCTTTTTTACTAAGTCTTTTTGCAGAATATTAGATGTATTTTATAATGTAATTGCAATCAATCTATAATTACCGATTAGATACTATTAAAGACTGATCTTTTGCGACAAGAATTAATGTGAGTAAAAAAAGAACTCGTTTTGTGTTACTGTAAATATATGTAAATCTTTCTATTATTGACTCTATTTACGTCAAATAGTGATTTGACGCAAATAGAGTAAAACGATAATGTTTATTATATTCCTAGAATAATTATATAAAAGTATACATTTCGATGACTACAGAAATCAAAACATTCGTGTTATCTTTGGTGCAACTAAAACATTTTTAACAATGTCAACGCTCTTTGATTATTTATCTAACCTCCGATAGGCTTCATTGGCAGTCACAAAAATTTACCTAAAATCGACAGTCTTTAATATTATCTCGTCGGTATATATAAGAAAATAATTTATATATAGTAATAAAAAAAAATGTGGTCTTTTAGTTATATATGTGATCAAGTTCTCGAGTGATAATTTATCCTGCATATTCGACAGTCGGTAAAGTGACGTTACTTGCGTACCGTCCGTGTTGATTGAACGATATCGTCGGCGCGAAATTGGAGAATTCAAACAGCCTCAGTTTACGCCCATCAAGTGATCGCGTCGGACATCGATGGGCGATCGATCGCGCGTTAACTTTCGCATTTTCGGTACGATAATACTGTTATTCGGGTAGTTTGTGTAGTTTCGACATGTACATCATCTTAAATGACCTTCGCGAGACTGTTCTCGGGATGTTCGTCCTCCGATGTTTCCGGCTCCGTGTTCAATTTGCTGAAATCGCGAGTATTCGGCCGTTTCTCCAGAAACTTGAAGCTCCTACCTCGGCGATTCTCCAAAAGGCTGGATAGCTTAAAGTTTTCCCGTCTCTCGGCTTCCCAACGCATCCTCTTCCGCATTGTAAGTAAACATCCTGTCCGATCGAAGCATATAAATATATATTTGCTTAAATATGCGAAAAATATTGCAAGATACAGAAAGAGAGTGTGTGTGAGAGAGAGAGAGAGAGAAAGAGAGAGAGAGAGAGAGCCATGATGTGCAATTTGTATAGTCATAGAAATGGCGAATAGCCGTTACAATTCACTACAGAAACTCATCCGTGAGATTCAAATTGATGTGATTTCTTTTATAACATTACATTCTCTTTATGCATTCTGTGGTAATATTATTTTATCTGATATCGAGAATTCTTGGTATTTACCTTGGAGTAAGAAAAAGTAACTTTTATAAATTTTTAAATTCAGAGATATATTATTAATTACAATTATTTCTTTGGATCAATTTTTGATATGAAGAAGGAAAATTTATTATCTAGATAGAGATAATGATATAATAATAATAATGTCTGACTTAATTCTGAACCATCTACTTTAACAATATATTCAGAAAAAGTTACTAAATTTAGAAAAAGTTAATAAAATTTTATAAAAATATAAAATTGAAATCTACAATTACAAACAGTTTCACAAGATTTCGAGAATTGTTAATGTTATATATTCTGTAAATAAATATAAAATATAAAATTGAAATCTACAATTACAAAAAGTTTCACAAAATTTCGAAAATCGTTAATGTTACATATTCTGTAAATGAATGATTTATTAATCTACTTATTACTTTTTACTCCAAGGGCTATCTCATTCTCAACTTTTAAATATAAACAATTAATGACACAAAGCTTTGAGCAAATACGGGTATAAACAGAAAATAAATATTTAATGAAATTAAAATATATATCTGTCTACAATGAATAAGACTATATAATAAATAAATAATTAATATAAATATGAGAATAAAGAAAAGGTAAAAAATTAAAAGGTCTAATGCAACACAATTCATATATCGTAATATAACATACAGAGATCAAATAAAAAAAAAAATTTAACATACATCTTGAACATACGTATATAACTGTCTTAAAAATTAAATTTACAAGATACATGAATACATAAAAAACACAACGCTATGCTTTCTAACTATAGGATAATATATAAGAAATACCAATCAAAGCTTCTATATAAGAATAAATTCTTTTGAATAAGCAAACACACACATACAATTTAGGTATATAGTAATAGGAACAATCTAATTTTGCTATTACAAGATATTAAAATTGTCCTAACTGTTAAAGTTTAGCAACATAATTGTGTTGTTATGAAAATATATAAATAAAAATAAAATCTTTAAAACATATAGCTGCAATAATAAACAAACATGCGCAGACATAATTCCTTTTTTTCTGTTGTATTATATCACAAAGATATTGCATTTTTTTACAATTCCTTTTTACTAAATATTTCAATAAGCAACAGGAAAAAAGGAGATTAATTTAATATATGTATAGTAAATTAGCATAATATACAAAAAACAAAAATACTGCAATGAAAGGAAAAGACAGACAAACGAGTTTTTGTATCCTAATCAACTAATTTAGAAAATTCAACTGTTGGTTCATCATAGTGATATCTTGTTTTTCTACCTCTTTTTTGACATCTTGCTACAATGGCAGCAATCGCGACGCATATTGTAATAAAAGAAATAGCTGCTGAGCCAAGACCTAGAATTAATTTCGTCATATTAGTCTTTCCAATATCGGCATCTTTAGTATCAGGATGTACTAAGATCTTAGGTCGTTGCCGCTTAATAGATTGTGAATCTTCAACATGTATAGAATCATTTACACCTAGAAAAGAAAAAGATAGATGTATTTAAATACATGTAGAGAAAGATTTTGAAGAATTCTTTTTATGAAACATAATATTTAATAGTACTGTACCTTGTAGAAATCTGTAAATTTTGTGATTATTTAATTCTACTACATATATCTCGGAACCATCTTCCGTCACATGAAGGTCATGTGGCTTATCCATGTTTCCTTTGGGTGCAAACATTGACAATATCTTTCCAGAATAAATATCAAGCACAAAACCTCTTACTGATACTGGATTATATGGATTATATGGATTCAATCCATTGACTAGATATAATTTTTCTCGAGCATAGCCAACGCTATAAATTTGTGTACCGATAGCAGAGTGCCTATATTCTTTATGAAATGTACCATTGCTAGCAAAGAAACATAATACTCTGCCATTCTCTCTGTCAGCAACATAAATATAGTTCAATTCACTTGCGAGTGCTAAAGCATGTGGGACAAGAAACGCATTTGGTGGAGGCAACTGCGAATAGATGGGTTCTAAAATAAAGTAAAGTTTACTTTAGAACTTAATTAAATCTTGTTTATTGCTATCGATGTATTAATTTTATATTTATTATTACCTCCAACGCCCCAATGTCTTCCCCAATGTAGAATTCGCTCTCCATTCTTATTAAACTTGATTATCCTAGAATTGCAATATCCATCGCTGACAAAAAAGTCACCATTAGTATGTACAGCAACAGCTGTTGGTTTACAAAATCTCGTTTCGTCATTACCAGGCACAAAAGCCTCTCCCAGAATTATAGATGGCTTTAATATGCTATTTTCAAATAATGCATTAGTGTGATTGCTAGACACAGCTGTCATTGAGCTAAACTGTGCGCTTTTTAATTTTTCCATGTGCTCTATATCTTGAGCATTAAACTTGAATACTTGATGCATTGCCACATCAGTAATCCAATAATTTCCAGACTGATCAATAGTCAAACCATGTGGAAGATAAAACATGTCTTTTCCAAACTTTGATATTACTTTCCCACTCTTATTCAAAAGGATAATTGTATTTTGTGCTATGGGCCCATTATTTGGATTGAATCTGTTTCCATTGTCAAAAGTATCAGCTCCCCAAATACGATCTCCTCTATGAAAAATAGCAATATTGCCATATGGATCCATAGAAACTGCTGATATTTGATTAAGTTTCAGTTGTGCAGCCCAATGCACGTCCAATTTTATGTCTGATAAAAATATACAGAAACATAAAATAAGATAACCAAGAGATTTCTCTAAACAAATAAATGAATACATACTTTTGTCTAAATCATCTGTAGTTATTGATTCCTCTTTATCAAAGTGGCTATTACCTCGTAAATATAAATTGTCTTTTATACGTTGTTGCTCATCCAATTGCGTGAGGGATCCTGCATCCTCGTTGTCAGGATATTCCGAGTATTCATCCGAATTAAATTTAATATTAGGTAAATGCTGTAAATAAAGGAACTTTTTTCTTACATATTTACATATAATCTTACAAAATAGATTTTATTCTTATAAAAAAAATTAATAATTTATATGCAGACTCAATATATATATATGTATCAGAGTATTATACAACAAATATGTATATAAAATTAATCTTAAATATTATAAATTTTTCTCTTTGTCTTGTGTAAAATATTTATTCATATAATTACCTGAACATTCGAAATATCCTGCGGTTCTGCCTTGGCGTGTATTAGAATAGAAAATAAAACTAAAACTGAACAGATGGTGTCATATCGAAGATTTGTCATCATTTCGCAAAACCGTCATTAGGTGCTCTTTCGTATTTTCAGTTTATCTCATCAATATCCTAAATATCAATAGCGTTTGTGGTAGATACATAATTTTACGAGATCACAGGAATATTCTGGCGAATCACGTCAAATTATTCGAGAAGTCTCACACAAGTCTATGTCACACTTTGGTATGTTCACATATAATAAGCTAAATGCTGGCTTTTCTCAAGAAATTAATGTCACTCAGAATATCGTGTCATATATATGACTGTTATCATAATGACTACTCTTGGTCAATTTATGAGAAACATTTATTATTGCAACATCTCAAAAAAACACACGTTTCCAACAAGTGGCATTAGACATGACGCCATAATATTTTGGTATACGTTTTACCGACCAATTTTGTGCGAATTCTTAACTTCGATTGATGGTACAGGTTGAGAAGTTTCATATTACGTGCGCTTAAAGGCGCTACATGTATTGTTCTGTTACTTTTCATTGATAGAATGTTGGTCCAAAAAAAGGCTAAATTAATTTTTCCTTAAAATCATTTTAATATGAGATCATCATAATTTTCACAATATTTTAATTTTCAGCATTAAATATATCATTTGAGTTATAAATTGAATTTTTCTGTCAAAGTATAAATTTAAAATTATATACTATAATCAAAAAACAATATTATTATTAAGGCTATTATTTAATATTATATATAATGTGTTTTCTGAATAATTATTGATATAATAGATGATATTCGAATTTTTTAAATGTTACGATTTATAAATCTAGATTCATAAATAATGTAGAGTCAACATCAATAAAAACTACATAAATTTATACAAAAATCTTATAATATTCAAGAAATTCATCTACTAAGTTTTACGAGACTGTTATTCATATACAGTTCTTCGTATTATTGTTTGGAGATGTTTTAATTTACCAAACAACTTTGAGTTATAAACAAAAGCACGGAGAAATGTAACTTTCAATATTACAGTTATTTTTGCTTCGTAGCAAGCTATTATATTGATAGAAGTTTTATTGCAATTGTTTTTATTATAATCAAAATTGAATTATGGTAATTATCTCTTTCCACATTTTTCCACACACGAATATATATATATATATAATCAGTACTTTCTTAATAAACATATGTTATCATTATTTTTTTTAAATTGGTTTATAAATATATCGATACCTAACATATATGGATTATTTAAAAAATTTATATTTTCATTATATATATATATATACATATATTCACATTAGTGCAATATAATCATAAAATATAATATAATATCGTGAAAAATTTGTGCACATTTATATATAAATCGAGAATCGTGATTTATACTTTTGCAATAAGAATTAAATTCTTAGATTAAATCTTATATTATACAATCTTAAATTAAATATATTTTATCCCCCATAATTTTTTTAAAAATGGCATGTATTTTTGAGCGAGATTTTCTTGCAAATTTTCTTCACAGTTAAAAATCTGAGGTTTAGATATTTCTCGACAGCTTCTGTTATGTTATAGATTTGCCAATGTAATTCACTCTCTTCCCCCTAATTTTCGTACGAATGAAAAGCTTCAGTGTTCGAATATTTCGCAGTCCAATACAATCTACAATCCGCCAGACGATGTCGCTGGAATTCGTCGCGAGAATTTCCCGACATGGTTTCGTCTGGAAGGACTGAGTTTATATCGGAATCAATGCAGTCTCGTTCGATCATGTCTGACATTCCTTGCATGCCTTGTCGTTCGAATACGTAAATCCGTTATTTTATGCCTATTGGGCTTTATTTTCATAATAGGTGCGATTAAATTCAAAATTAAAATTTTTGTTCTTAATGTGCCAAGAGAGTTGGAAAAGAAACTTTACTTCTCGAATATGGCTGAGATAAAACTTTCAAATCGCCGGGGTACATATCCGTAAACGAGCGAAAGCATTTATAGTTATAAGACCTCGAGTTAATATTTTTTGTAATAAGAAAGCAATTATATTTTTAGAATGAATTTTTTTATCTATTAATTCACAAAATCAAGATAATATAAATTCAAGTAAAACGACAGGGCTGTCACTCGAGTTATCTAATCTTATAACGTGCATTGTTGGCACAAATGACGCAACCAAACAATATGGTTATCATTAGGGGATGGCGATTGTTTTATTCTATTATATTCATTGTACTATCCCTGTCATTTCGCGAAGTATGTACGCAAGATGCGTTAGAGTATATCGGGGCGATCCAACAATGGCAGTGCTCATCCTTTCGGTAGACCGAGAGCGTCGCATTCATCGCACTGTCTGCATCGACGCCGTATTTTCACCTTAAATTGCAGACGACAGCGAGTTCTTTATTACGGTGAAAGAGAGCGGGATTGTCAGCTGCGAATAAACATATAAAGAGATGTAGGACCTTTGGCGTTCCGTGCTGAAAAACTCACGTTCGATTACGAGCGACATCACGAGCCCTTCTCGTCGTAGAACAACGAAAGGATTTGACAATCGTTTTGTCCTTCCCTTTTTTTTTCGCTTTACTCTTCCCACTTCTCTCGCGCCTCCTTCTCGTCCACGATTCATTTATCTTCTTTTGGGGAACGTACTGCAACGGGTGAGAGAGACTAAACCTGTAAATCCATTTAGTGCGGTCGTCAGGAAATAAAGAAATTCGACTGTCTCTATTTCTATGCTAAACAGTTAGGCGCGCCGTACAAATGTATTCGCAACTTTTATACTGTGGCTACGTCTTCAATCTATTCTCTGTTTTTTTTTTGTGTATTTTTTTATATTATTTGAAGTATATGGTTTAAGCTGTACGGTCTTGTGAAGATATCTACACAAAAAGAAATCTTTTTAAAAAGATTATATCTATCTATTTTCGAGAAATTATATTTTATTAATGTAAATATTAATCTCTAAAGATGAGTGCTTAACAAATACTAGAGCGCATTTAAAAAGATTTCTTTGTAAAATTTCCCTGAAAAAATCCATTAATGAATAAATTTATTTAACTTTGTTATCCGCGTTGAATATTGTTTCATAATGAAATGTATAAATAATTTTTTTCTTTCATCTATACTTAAATTAAAAAAGATAAATATATATTATATAATTAGATCTAGTTACACACATATACGTATATATATGTAATTACAAAATAATATAATCGAAAAATATATATTTTTGCGATCTGGATAGGGATATTCTCCCCGATATTGTGTTATCGAATACCGTTGTTGTCTTCAAATATATTGCCGTGACCTGCGTGGATTTTGTCGGTTAGCAAGGAAAATCGACAGCAAAATACAAACGCACGCGCGGATGCAATTCGCGGAGATTCTTTAATCTCGCCGCCTGATTCGACGCGTATCTGTGATGGCCGTTTGCGCAGATATAACAGTCGCATATCAAGTTCGGTTTCACGCGCTTTAGCGTTTAAATTGCGAGATCGACGGCTGCCTTTGATAATCGCGGGCTAAACGGGGACGCGTATCTATCTATGCGCGAGAAATAGCGCATGCAAATTTACACGTCATGAAAAGATGAATTTATTAATATATATATTATACACATATGTGTGTGTGTGTGTGTGTGTGTGTGTGTGTGTATGCCTGTGTGTGAAAAGGTCTGAAGAGACGTGAAGTACTTCATTTTCAAAATTTAAATATGAGAGGCTTTTGGCTTTTTTCCAAAGAATTCCCGGTGTCTTAAAAAAAATTTGACAATTAAACATTATGTAAAAAAATAATGTTTTCCGAATATTTTTATCAGGTGCTAGATTCACGTTTTTATTATACTGCAAAATTAACAAAAAACTTTTTATTTTAATCTCTCTGAATCTATTTGAATACTTTCATAATACTTTTTCATGTAATTTTTAAAAGCGCAATATAATTCTTTAGAAAACTTCCGAGAAAAAAATGTAATCATAACAACCTTTACAAAATTTCCTCTGGAGAATTGAAAAATTGCCAGAACTTTTTCGTAATCTTTTTGTGAAATGCGTTTGGGTGCTATTACATGCAATCTATCATCACGAAAAAGTGAGAACAGATTTAAAAAAATCATGAAACAATATTATATATATTGGAAACCGAAATCTCGGTCAACCAATTTTACTGACGGTCTCTTGTCAAGAAAATAAGCTCGCCAGAGGACTTCCACCTCATACCGTTGAAAACGCTACCGATCGATAATACATGCAGCGCGCTCGTAATAATAAATTATCTAGACGCGAAGAGAGCGAAATGGCGATCCGACTGATAACGTCAGCAAGTTAGAATACGTTAAGATTGCCAAACGATTCTTATTTGGCTCTTGTCAGTTCGATATTAAAAAATTCCATCCAAAATAAATACATACGCTATTTTTTGTCATTTGAACTCACTCATATGCCAAAGTTCTTTCAGACATTTTTTCATACAATTTTTTTCAACATTTATTTATATCTACTATTTTAAGTTAACAGTCTATACAGAATAAAAATTTATTCTTATTTTTATATTTACCACCGAGACTTGTAAACACAAGGAAAAAAGACAAATCTGGGAATTACCGTGGATAATCCGCTGAATGTATCGTTGCGCGCGTAAGCGTTAACGCGAGTAATAAAAGGTAAGCAGGGGCACAAAGAGTAGTGCGAACTCAAGCTAGCGTGATAACCGTGAAGGTCAGAATTTTTTCCCCCATAGGGAGATTAACAGGGTGCGCTCTTGTAGCGGGAAGGGCGGTTATCACGTTATGCCGTGCCGCGAAAATTAATTACAAACTTCGCCGTGTTCCGCAAGGGTATGTAAAAGTGGCGAGGCGGAAGACAGAGAGACAGAGAGAAAAAAAAAAGATATTATTGCGCACGAGAGAGAGACTCTTTGCATCTGCATATGCGCGCGCATCGGAAACGTCGTTGCGTCGTCGGCGTTGTGGTATATTTACGTAACGGAGAGGGTTAAGGGCTTCGCCACAACACTCTTACAGCCCCATTCTGTAAGCTGTAAGCCTGTAAGCTGTATC